CCATTCTTATTTGGGATTTGTTCTTAGGCAAGGACAGAATCTATGCACACTCAAGCATATTTGAGCCACTGACGTGTGTGTGAAATAACTGGTTATTTTGTTTTCTTCAGTTCTATATTTACATAATATAATAAGATTTAAGTTACAATAACAGTTTTGTCTTGAGTATTTAGTTTTGTACACATTATTTTACAAAGTATTATCTTTCAAAACAAAAAGCACTAGACTAAAAATGATCTTTATCATATTATACTGTATTTTGGCCAGTACCTAAGCGTTTTGTTGTCCAGCACTGCATCTGAGATCAGACTGAGGGACCTGGGTGCATGCATGGAGGTACACATAGCTGATGGCACCCGACAGAGCCGTGCACGGCCCCGATGCGTTGGTCCAGCTCAGATGACTAAGGGGCAGTCTGTTCTCCTCCACTGATCAGCGTCTGTCTTCTGTGTTTGTTTTGTTGCCTCAGATTTGAGATCAAACCATCTTTTTAATTCACCAGTTGTGCATCTCATGCGTCTTTTTGTTTTATTTTATATTCACTACTGACACTACTACATATGGCAGCTCATTCACTGTGCTCCACTTCAAAACCACTCAAGTTTTTCTTCGGTTTGGAGTTTGTTGCTCCACTGTCTTTAGATTTTCATTGTAGCATCCCTGGACTTCTCAGCTTCTCTTCTCTGTTTCTGTGAAAGATGTGGCCCCGCACTCCTGCCCTTTTACGGGCATTAACCTATGCCAATTAGGAACGACTGGCACGCCATTTCAACTTCCAAGGACATGGGATTCATCAATATAAGAACACAGGTGCGAACAATTCTGCTGTTTAAGAATGTGTTCATGATACAGGGTATGTGGTGCACAGGTGTGCCAAAAGTTCAAATTTGTTGAAGTCTGACCTCCGTGTGCGCAGCCAATCACTGTTTCGCCCTAACTTTGCCTGTACTCGTAGAACCCCAGGTTACAGTATGTAACCGACATTTCCCAATTTTCAAAAAATATGATCCCCATGGCGAGATCAGTTAAAGACAGACAACCTAGCCAAATATCAGCACACAAGTGCTGCTACCAAGACTGCTGAAATAAAAAAACAATCTGATCCTCTAAAATTAACCACTGGTGATCTACTGTTAGCAACATTAACTTCGTAGCTGCGCCACTTTTTACAGGTTCCCTATGAATTTCTACGTGAGTTTTGGTGACAACCATCCTTGAACGCGCAGTGCGACACCCTTGTTCACTGGAATGTGAACATACCTTCAGACTTGGACTTTTCATAGGACCTTTCTTAAGAGCAACCTACTTAGAAATTTAAGAAAACACTTAGTACATTTGTTTGTGAATGAGACCCAATGCTTTTATTTTCTTATTCAGTGACATGAGGCCACTATGTGACGATAACTTAAGCTCTCTATTGTCGGGGAGTCATATGATGGAGGGGACAAACAGCCATAAGGGGCATAAATGTTGGAGGACTTGTCGTTTTGAACAGCAGGAGAGGTTAGCTACCGTGCTATGTTGAAAATACAAATAATTAAATACAATTCAAATTATCATTCATTTATATATTTTACATAAAGTTGCATTGCTTCATAATTACTTTTTTTTATTTAATATTCTGAGGCTGTACAGGCTACACATTAGTGAAAGTGGTTGTTCAAGAGAATGGATTCTCTGCATCACTTGCGTCAGCAGAGAAAGAAGCAAACAACCAACATGTAATTAACTTTGTCAGACAATGTGACTGCTCCACTGTGTCACACTTAACAGAAACAAATCACTTCTTTTTGTTAGCAGTAGAGACGGGTTTGTTGTGCTCTCACATGGTTGGATCTGATCTTAGACTCAACAATAATGACTTGGCTGAATGTTTTTTTTTTTTTTTTTTTTTTACCCCATTTGCTGCTTCCGTAGATCACAACGCCACATAAACAGGTTAATAAATGGTCTGTCTCTTACATGATTTGTGGCTCAAGTGGCATGGAAGGCACTGAGAAAAAACATTTATATTTAGAAATGCATTGATATTTGCAGCTTTTTCGTGTCTTTGTCAGTAGTGTAGAATCCACGTCCATTAAAAGGTCAAATTTCAGGACATGCAGTATTTAGACAAGATTTTATTTATGTAGAGAAAGAGGAATTACTGACAGATATAAATGGCAGAATGTGGGGAAAATGAATGATGTTATTGGCATTACATACAGAATGGATGTCTGACAGTCCAAAACCAGATTTAACATGAGTTGGTTCACGTTGAGGAAAATGCTGCTTGACTGATGAATTTGGGAGAGTAAACCACAAAGCCCAGAGGGCATCAATAACCCGGAGTATAGCCCCATCTAGTGGCCTTTTTGTGTTACTCTCTCTCTTAATTGAAACCCAGAAAAGCAAGTACAGTATGTCTAGCACGACCTCTTTGGCATGTGATCGACTGTCTCTTATTCCACATGTGGGTTTCAGGTGTTCATACACTGCACTGTCAGATTATAAACCTGCTGAATTATGCATTAAAGTGCATTCTAGTCATTCTCTTGCCTACTGGTCTCGTTGTCCTGAACCAGCCCACAGATATTTAGTTATTTACCAAGGTCCTCATCTCACTGAGAACTTGCACTGTCTTGGATGTCACATGCTCCACACATTCTGTGATCGTAGGCAGTTGTTGGCCCAGAAAAGGGTGATTTTTAATGAAGTGGCACTGTTATAACCATGTCCAATCCCCAATCCCCAGACCTGAAGGGCAGGTGTACAGTCTTGGTCAAGCCCCTCAGATGAGACCAGTGTGGCTTGGTTAAACAGCTAATAGATTAGTTAAACAGATCCAGATGGGAGTTCAAATTACCACTGACCTAACATTCAGGGTGTTTGAGACACACACACGCCTTTCCACCAGTTCAAACTGTTATTCTTTTCCTCTCCACCACAACTTGGATTCACAAGCACTGCTTTCATACTAGCATCATGTAAATCAAGCCCAGTTCAAAATTTCTGTTGAAGGACATAAAACTAATTCTGGGAACAGCCCATCATAATCCAACATCCAGACTATCACATCTTGTTGATATGGACAGTTAAACGTTAGGAATAGATCTCCCTATGTTGTGTTATGGCTGAGGTCAGACGCCTGTTCCAGCCTGTAAACAGTTACAGGCTTCTATCTAATGATGCCGCTGACGGCGCCACATGCTGCCCTGTGGTTCACCAGACTTTGTGACACTATGCTGTGTCATTATGTTGTGTGGTCTGCACCTGCCACTTTCATATCATATCAGATCAGTGGTAGAGATGGAAATGATTATGACTTCAGCCTTCAAGGCGGTTAAATGACTACAGAGTTAATCATGTGAGGAATAAAATGCTGTGCATTACCAATTCAACACTATATGCACAGTATTGGGCTTATGTAAGCCAGTAATATTTGTTTTTCAGGCATTTCCGTGTTGCTAAGTGCCAACTTGCTTTCAGAAAAATCTGAGATTGTGAACACTATTTACAAGGCAGAAACCCATTATTACAATAGCTCCGATTAACATGAACACAGTATTACTGCTGCCTCAAGCCTCCTGCAGTGTGAATCTAGATGTCAACAATGAGCAAGGGGCAAACAAATCCAAAAAGGGAGCAAGTAAACAAGAACCAGACACAGGCAGGAATCATGAACAAGCAGGCACACATAACCAGAGGCGGGGTGCCACTGCAATGTGCAAGGGGGGTGGAGAGTGGGTGGCTGGAAAGACTGATGGAACAAAGTCCACTTCCCATTCATGTCGATGTAGAACAGACCAGACACATTCACTTCCAGTAGCGAGTTAACACGCCGTCACTTTGCTCCAGAGTTCAGTCTAAATGAAGCACAAAATCCTAGTGGGGGGGGGCTGAGTTCTCCTTCAGGAAATAAAGTTTGTTTATGTTATTGTTTTTCTAACTGCATATGAAATCACAGCAGAGAAGTGATGCTGTTTGGCGGTAGAGAATGTGAGGACAAGAACAACAGGTTAATAACATGAACCCTCTGCTAAAAGGCTGTCGTTAGCCTGCTGGCTGCTGCAGGTCCTGTTTACAACCCTAACTATACTGTCTCCCATCCAGTGCTGCTTTTGGACACAGCACAAACATAAATTTGGACAGGTGAAGAAAGCCACTGAGGCAGGATTACAAGCAGAGTACAGCAACAAACTCAGCTAACCACATTCAGTAGAGTCTCACTCCTCACCTAGAACATTCTGCCAAAAGTTCTCTTTGACTTTGTTTGTGGTCGATGGGTTGGGTCTGTGTTTGAACGTCTTGAAATGAGCCGACGTTAACAATTTAACCCTTGTTGAGTTTGTTGGTCTCATTCAAGACACAATAAGGTTTCTTTATGAAACAACACTGCACTGTACTGTATGTTAAAACCACACAGAGTAGTTAAACAGTTTAACATGTTTGAAGAGTGGAGGGTATTTTAGTTTGTTTTTCCTCTTTCTCTATGAAGAAGGAGTAAAGCTAACAAAGTATTTGTGCTTCTATGGCTTACGGAGACAAAGAAGGTCCAGTTTTTCTGCTCCTGCTTTTGACACAGCAGCCAGATGCCAGTTAGCATACAGCTTTTTTTAAAATCCCAGCAGGTTCCAACCACAAATCTGGCAAAGATGAATTATCAGCCCTGCGACAATGGAATTAGATGCACAAACACAAATGATCAGTCTGGCTTCACTGTAATGAATAGATATGCTTAATTACTGAAACTGAAGTTGAGTCACATTCAATACTGGGCACTCACTGAAAATGTTTTAGAAGGTATGAAAGGCAGTAATTACTGGGGTCACTGAAGATGCATCTCTAAATTAAATGTGGAAAACTGATCACATTGACTGATTCAATTTCAGGAAAGGTTTTATTAAATTGTTCTTTGTGAAGACTTGCACTGGTGCACAATGAATTGGGCAGCAGTCGAAGGCAGGGGCCCCGACGACCCGATCTCTGGACACAGAGACTTGTAACCAGAAAAAAAAAAAATGCTTTCAAATCTCAACCCTGCAGATTTTCCACCGGTACAGTTGTCCAAGGTCATGAACTCAGCTTCTGCTCGGTGGTATATGTGGGTGGGGCCAGTTCCTAGACTGAAAGTAGCCCCTGAGTCCTTCTAGGTCCACGGGAGGGAAGTAGGCTCCAATGCGTTTTCTCAGCCACCACTTCCCCTGCGCTGCGCTGGCACTGCCCGGCTGACTGAACTTGTATCTGAAGTGTTCTCCTCGCACCCACCTGGGGGGGGAGGGACGACATGGAGATCATCAACCTCATTCTTGAATGAGCTGTCTAGAACAATTAAGAGCTTTCATCTTTGTGTTCAGATTCTGATCTAACTGCGCAGTGAGTGAAAATGTTTAATCTGTTACTTCACATATCGTTGCTATATAATATGTGATGATATACAGGTATCTGGTTCCATGACTCCTATTAACACAGTGTGTAAGTGCCAATACTGACTTACTATCGTGACTTCTGATGTTTTTGTTTTATTTGGTTTTGATGCTCTGAAGATTTTGCACATTTTCCATTATTGATGTTCACTGGGAGATGAGATCCACACAAATGAGATAATATTCATATAAACTATTGTTTATGTGTTTCTTAAATTATTATCACCAAGCAGAGGTATATACTGTCCCCAAAAAGACACCACACAGCCTCTATATGCACTATTTCTAGTTTTTGTGTTTTAGCTAAAGAAAGATTATCTGGTGGTTGCTTCACTAGAGGACGCTAGAGGACAGAGTATAATCTCTCATCAGAAGGTGTGATTGTGTCACCAAAACACACATTAGATGACAGATATACTTCTGTAAACACAGCTTATCATTAGCAGGACAAATCTGTGCTGCCTGCTAACAAATAAATTCCTCCAACAAACGTCAAAGGAGATAAAAGCTGGCTCATCATACAGTATTCTCTCCCTGCAGAGGGAAATGCACTCTGTGTTTACCTGGGTGGGTCTCTGCCTTGGAATGGGTTGTGGTTGAGCAGCGAGAGGACCGTGCTGTCGTTGGCCAGCAGACGTCCTGCTATGTGGATCACCCACTCACTCTGCTCGTAGGTCTGTATGAACACATGGAGAGAGTTTGTTAGAGACTAAGAGAAAAAGCAGCAGAAAGAAAAGGAGGTAAAACAACTAAGGGTGGTGATAAAAGAAATGTACTGGGACTGAGAAAGAGAAAAAAAACAGGAAGTGCAACAAAGATGCTCTGAGTCGAAATCATAAAGACTAAGCCAAAGAGAGAGCAAAGCAGTGTGTACTGAGTAAAGAGGGACAGGTGTGCAGACAAAAGAATAAATACAGTGCATCCTAGTGGGTAGAACCAGTAGTTGAATATGTAATGCAGCACTAAACAGCTGAGGCTCAAGTGATTTTTGTCACACAAGCCCTAAAAATGAGGCGATTACTAGTGATAAAGCACCTGGAAAGGGGGTTAATGGTTATTTCATACAGCATCTACTAAGGTCTCTATTTGAGTGTTAGCCTAGTTAACGTCACAGTATCAGGAGTGGCAGGGTACTCTTGTTTTTTGGAATGACTTTAACAACATAAAATTTGTTCTGGCTCTGATCTAACTCAAATCCTATATCCAGACCAAAAAAAAAAATCCATCCTGAAGACAAGTTATTATGTGTCTACACTGGTAATGTGTTTCACTCCTAATATCTTTTCCTGCAGTTGTTCAGCTTCTCACCTGAAAGGCAGCGAACCACATGAGCCAGTCTAGACGGTAGTGGTATGGGGATATCAGGCACGGCCGTCGATAAATGTCTCCTGGTTTACATTGGAACTGGTACTCCTCCCACACTGCCTCAGGGTCCTTGGGATCCTGGCTCAGAGTGCCCTGGAAAATCACCTCAGTACGCTCCTTGGTGATGCTGGACAGAGGGCGGAGAAATACATACGGGAATACACAGCTTTGGAAAATAAAATTCACTTGACCTTTAAAAACATGATTTCCTGGTCCAAGCTGCATTTTCTTGTTAAACATTCATTCCTACTCCACAGACTCACTGTGTCTTCATGAGCCCTGAACCAGCAGCCATGACTGTACCTGCCAAACGCCCCGTAAGTGTTGACTATACGTAGTGGGTCGAAGGAGGTGTTCATCACCTGCCTGGAATTCAGCAGGTTCATCACCACAGGAATGCTCAGGTAGCCAATCAGAACGCTCAAAGAAATGTTCGCTACTCGACGTATCAACATACCTGACACACACACAAAGAGAAAGAACAGGACTACATGAAAAACAGCTTTAAATCATTATTTTCTGATATAGCTGGATATAGTTTGTGTTTTTTTTCCTTTTTTAATTTAAAAAAAACAAAGTATGCAGACACACCAGTCTGCCTGTCTATCTGTCACATTCTCCACAGACACCGCTCTCAGCCGGCTGTGGGGAAACTGCAGGAGTGATGCATGTTATTGCGCCTGTTTGGCCTAAAGGAGCTATGCCAGTGTTTGTTTACTTGTTAAATTCTGCAGCCTTCTGGAGAAATAAATCACTGCTCTGTTGCAGAATTTCAAAACAAAACTGGCTCAAGGAAAAACTGTAATTACAGCCAGTAGTGGAAGAAGTGCTTAGATCCTTACCCAAGTAAAAGTAGAAATACCACAGTGTAAAAATACTCTTGTTACAAGTCCTGCATTCAAACTGCTACTTAAGTAAAAGTACAAATGCATCAAAATATACTTGAAGTACCAAAAGTAAAAGTACTCATTACGCACAATGGCATGTTTCACATTAATGTATATTATTGGATTATAATTACTGATGCATTATTGTGCACATCACTTTAATGTTGTAGCGAGTAAAGGTGGAGCTAATGTTAACTACCTTATATACCTATAATTTGAAGTACTTTACATACTGCTGGGTAGCTTGTGAATTTCCCACCAGGCATCAGAAGTGTTTTGTTTTATACACCTGATTCTAAAAAGTAATGAAAGGTATCATATGAATGTAGTGCAGCTAAAAAGAAATCGTCTCTGAAATCAGAATCGGAATGAAGCAGCAGAACATGGAAATACTCAAGTACAAATACCACAAAACGGTACTTGAGTACCATTTTGTGGTATACCGAAGTGGTATAATTAAGTACTTAATTTCTTTGCATCACTGTTTACAGCTTAATTCAAGGTGACAAAGTTGCTAGTGTCTGCTCTACAGGGGGATTCAATGCTATTAAAAGTATACCATAAGTCTTTACTGCTCCTCTTGTCTGTTCTACGATTTTTCACATCTTCTACATTTTCAAGTCTTTGAACAAATTCTACAACTATTAAAATGCCTCCAAGAGGGAAAAGAGCTAAAAAATCAGAAGCAACCGAGGATGTTGAGGCGGAAGAGGATTCTATTTCAGCGGCGCAAGTAGCTGAGATGTTGAATCAGCAGAAGCTGATGTACACCGCACTAATGTGCCAATAGCAAGAAAACTTCCAAGGCTTTGTGAAACTAATTATGGAGACAAACAACAAGAGACTCGACGACATGACCAAAGAAATACAGGAGATAAAAACGAGTTTGCAGTTTACCCAGCGAGATGTGGATGCGATTAAAGCAGCCATGGGGGAGCAGGAAATACAAGCCAAAGACACTAGGCATGACGTCTACAAAACTTGTGAGAGTCTTATAACCATAACATATAAAATGGAGCAATTGGAAGTACAGTCTAAGCAAAAAAACCTGATCTTCAAGGGAATCAAGGAGACAGCTGGAGAAAGCTGGACGGAAGCGGAACGGAAGGTGAAGGAGATTTTAAAGGACAAACTGCAAATTCATCAAGATATAAAGATGGAACGGGTTTACAGAGTTGGGAAACTTTCTGATCGTGGACCGAGGGCGGTACCCTCATCAGTGTGAAGAAACATGCAAGTATTTTGATATCTGCAATGGCAGATGAGCTTGGAACCAACAACAACAAGCATGACTAATGGACGATATGAGGCAAGTGATTTGTTACAGAAGTTAATAGTTTTTGAGGGACTGGATCTGGAACTGAACATATTTGGAGACACTGAAATTCATTATCATGAACCGGACGATGGCTTTGACCCTGAAAAAAACTTTTTCAAGAACTGCAAGTATTACACGGATGAGCAGTTTAACAGCAATGTCAAGACTGAAAACAAATCATCACTAATTCACTTTAATAGCAGAAGACTATACGCAAACTTTCAGAGTATAAAACATTATCTTAGTAGTCTAAAACATGCTTTTAATATAATTGCTATTTCTGAAACTTTTTTTATTTTATTTATTCTTTCAAACATGTAAAGACAGTTGATATGTCAACACACATAGTTTCACACATATCCACAAATGCATTATCAATTTGCTTATACCTATTACATGCTTGAACGGAGTAGGAAGAAGTTAGACTTATCTAGTCCTACCCCATAATATCATCTTACCATCATTGGTTTGCAAGCAGTATTTCTACATAGATAATTTTGTTCTACACCACGCTAGTGATATACTAAAAAATTATTACAGATTGTTACCATTCTTACATAATTACATACTTTGATAATTATCTTCTACATCACACAAGTAAAATTATTACATAGTGTTAACATTCTTACACCACACCACAATGTGACACCTGATTAATCATTAAACCTTTTCTTGCATATATCTTGATTGACACATACCTTTATATTTATGTTTAAACTCATCAATTTCCTCCTGTTTTTTATGTCCACACAAATTATTCCATAGTTTTATCCCACTTATGGAAATACAGAATATTTTTTTGGTTGTATGTATAGCATGAATTTTTAAATTTCACTGACCCCTTAAATTGTTTCCCCCTTCCCTTTCATTAAATAGTTTTTGAATTCCACCAGGTAATAAATTGTTCCTGGCTTTATACATAAACACAGCAGTCTTATATCCCACTAAATCAAAAAATTTTAACAAT